GCTAGAAACCAGGATGTAAGTATGTGGATTCAGGGTTTGTACTGCACTGTCTAGAACAGAGCACCAAGTCAGAGCTCTCTCCATGGGCAGGAGAATCTGCACCCAGAGGGCAGAGTAGATGGCACTGGGCTCCCTTGTGCTGTGTCCCAGACCTCAGCTCCAAACAGCTATTAGAAGCTGAAGTGGGGAACGTCTCCTATGTTTTCTGCCCCACGTTGCAGTGTCCTGGGCAGGAATGAAGACATTCTATAGAGATACTTGTGCCCCTATGGCTGTCAGACTGTTGAAACAACTGATCCCAAGAAACTGGAATTTCCCCTGCAGTCTCATGCTAGGAGAAGGGAAAATCCGAAGCCTGGTGGCCACCAGAAAGGTCTATTGTCTCTCAGGAGGAGATTTCACACAGGTCTGACAACTTACCAGACCACCTTCCTGAGAGACTGGAAGGTGATGATGCCAGGTAGGAACACCCTTGGCCAGGACTGCTAAGCTTTGTACCTCTTACCCTTCTCTTTAAACCTGAACCCCACATCTGGACCCTCTTCCCCGTGTGACCTCCCTGGATGAATCTTTTTCCTCTGCTTCAACTATTACTTTCGTAATTGTCCTGATGAGGATGGTGTCTGAGCCTAGCTTATGGAGGCATTGGCCCAGGCCAACAACCTCTTTATTTTATTTCTCCAGGAAGTAGTTAAAGGCTGGTTAGGAGTCTACTTGATAGAGAAAAGCCTGCCCTAGGCTCCTCGCTTCAAAAGAACTGTCCCTCCCTGATCCTCAAGTGGGTCCTGGACAGCCCAGCTTCACCTGCCCACAACAGTGACCTACCTATTCAGTGACACATACTTCAGCTCCTCTCCCTCATCCCTCAGCTCTCAGGGTCACTTCCACACCAAATAGGGTGGCCCATGCCCACATCTATGCTCTGCCCCAGGCTAAGGCAGAACCTGGGTCACAAGGTTTCCCCGATGCTGATGATCGCACAAGGAAGCTGGTTTTACTGTTACAATAGTTCCAGTCATGGACATGGACAAACATGTGGTCACCCTCCTCCGGTCGCTAGACCATGACCCCATCAGCATTCTGGGCTCTGAGGAAGCCTTCGCTGGCTCCAGCTTCCTCCCATCTGGACTGTAACTCTCAGCTCCAGACTCCCTATGTTTCCCCCATCGACACAGTCCTTTTTAAAAGTGCACTAACTCACATTTAAGCTTATAAAATCTCATTCCTCTGAAAGTGTACACCCAGTGGGGTTTGGTTAAGATTTGAGTGTTTCTTGACCACTTCAGTATCCCATTCAGATGCCTGGGGAGGTTTCCTGCTGCAAACTGACGTCACTAGTCCATGCCACCTGGCTCATGCTGACCTCATTGTCCGAGGTCTCAGCTACTCTATCACTCAGAGGCATCCACAGCCGCTGGTGCTTTTCATGCTACACCAGGGGGCTGCAATATGCACCCTGCCCCAAATCGCTTCTGTTCGTTCTCTCTCCTTTCAAACCATCATTTTCTCTTCCATCTTCTGTGCACCCAAAACACTCAAATTGTTTGTTTTATTACTAATAATTCTAGTTAGTTCTCACAATATCCTCCTTAAAGGACAAGTTATTTGTGCTTTATAATAGGTGACGATATGAAGGTTAGAGGAGGTAACTTGCCCAGGGACACAGCCAGTCATGGATGAGGGTGACTCTGAGGGAGGGCAGAGCCCCTGTGGAGCGGCCCTGACCAGTTTCCTCAAAGACAAGCTCAGTAGCATGCACAGAACCATAATTAATGATCAAGAATGAACTTTCACTGTCTGCTTGGATGCCAGAGCATCTCGAATTGCTCCAGATATGGCTTAAACAGCAAAGCCCTTGGTTTGTTGAGCACCTGACCTCACTTCACATGATAGATTGAGGCACCCAGAGTTTAACAGCTCACTCCCAGCCCAACAGCTGACCCATTTGAATGCATGCCTTCCCCCTCCCCCTCCCTCTGCCCACCCTGTCTGCAGACAGACACCCAGCACTTTCACACAGGGCTCTCAGCTGAAATCTGGTCTTCCCACTAGAGTTCAAGGCATGTGCACCGTGTCTCTTTGCCGGAAGCTCAATGTTAAAATATCACTTCTTGTAACACATTTGATGTGTTTGCTGTGGGAAAACCATCATATGATGCAAAGAATGTCAAATATGGCTAGAAGTGTGACGTTCTAAAAGGAATTCCCATGAATCCAGCGCAGGGTCCTGCTGTACCTACAAGCAACAGCCTGTGCTCCTGAGGAGGCCAGAGGGGAATGGTTGCCTAGTCTCCATGCCAACCCACTCCACAAGGCTTCTTAGAACCTCACATGGAAGGAGATAGGGGCAGAAGTAGGCCTTGGCACCCCTGTGGCCCTGTTTTGTGCGGGGGCAGCAAGGACTCAGAGGTGCCTAGGGCCAGCACTTGGCGACTGGTGGCCCAGACTTCTTGGCAAGAATACCCAAGGAGTTTCCCAGCTACTGTCCTGACTGCCTTGGCAGTGAGCTCTCTATCCGAACAATGCGCTCTGCTAAGTGTTTTTCCCCAGGAGCAGAGCAGCACCCGTCCCTGGGGAGGTGGCTGGCAGGGCCTCCATTCTTTCGGCTGACCTGCTGGCACTGAGGTATTGACTCTGAAGAGCACCAGCCGAGAGAGGAAAGGACCACATCAATGTCTCATCTGCGTTTTCAGTTCTCACCAGAATTCCCCAGCGTATGTGTGACCATCTCCAGTTCACCATCGCTCACGGAGCCATGTGTCTGGAAGTAGGGGAACAACCCCAGCTCCCCTAAACTGGTTCCCTGCAGCTCAGGAACCACTCTGCCTCAGGGCCAGAAAGACTACTCTGAGAAATCCAGAGTACTTGAGCAAAGTCAGCCCAGACTTCCAAAAACCTTCAAGCGCCATGGAAGGGTCTAAAAACTCCCACAGCTGAGGAAGAGTTCACCTTAGCCTTGGAAGGGCACAGGCTGGATTGACGAACAAGGTTCTGATTCTGACCCAGAGCCTCTCATCTCTTAGGTCACGAACCCCAAATCCAGTTGCCTGCTGTGGCCTGGACACCTTCAACGCACAGGCCTGCAGTCTGTACCTGGAGATAATACGGAACACAGATTCTTCCACTTTCAAAGTCCTGGCCCCATTGGAGCACAGTCTCAGCTTCCAGAACCTGGGAACCTGTGAGCATCACGAGAGGAGATGTGGGCTTTTCTCTCATATAAGTCACCAGACTCCAGGGACCCCTCAGGTCTGCTCAGGTCATGGGCACACAAACTTCAGACTTGGAGACAGTGACTCTGATATGCCCAGGGCCACAGGGAAAAAAACCACACTGTCAGACAATGATCAAAAAGAAAAGAATCTGAACTCAAAGCACTGAGCAGTGTCCCATGTTAAGGCGGCTTCTCAGCACTGCTTATTCCTGACCTGTGTCTTTTTATTTCTTGAATAAAATGTGTGTTAAGTGTCCTTCCACACTGCCCCAAAGGCAAGCCAAAGTCATGTTCCCTTACCCTGTGGTTCCCTTCCCTCCCTCCCCCTCCCTTCCCTTTCCTTCTAACTAGGGTTCTGACATTTTCAGGCTCACTTATCAGGCCCACCCCAGCTACTGCACCCAAAGAAAGCTATTCTCCCCCGCCTTACTTTTTCTCCTCTCCCTCCCCCGTCCCTTCCCCTCTCCCTCCCCCCTCTCTCCCCTCCCTCCCTCCCTCCTTACTTTCTTTCTCCTCTCCCTCCATTCCTTTCTCGTTTCTCTCCGTCTCTTTGACTCTACTGTCAGAAATTCCCATCGACTGGGTGCTGAGGAAACTCCGGGACTACTATGGCCTCTTCCCTGGACTAGCCCAGGACTTGCTGTGTGCAGCAGGGTGGTTCCAAATGTGCCTTATGGTCTCCACTCCATCCTCTGTTTGGGAGCAGCAGGCAGGGAAGTGCCCACGGTGTGACTGAGCGATCCCTTGTGTCTCACCCTTTTCTGAAGCCTTTAGTGATGCTTGCTGGATCTACTGCAAGGCTCCACTCCCCTCTAACAAGAAGAACTGACAGCGAGGGAGGCCTTGCGGAGGGTCTGAGGCATGTGTATCCCAAGGCCTTCAGTGGAACAGAACCCATGGCAAAGACAGCTGCTTTGGACCTTGATCCTGCCCTTGAACCTGTGCAGATACCAGGAAATCCTGCAGCCAAGGGAAGCAAGCTCCTTTGAGCTCCAGAAAGCTTAATGTCCTTTAAGCTCCAGGAAGCTTAATGTCAGTTCTCTCTAGGTGAAACTTTCTCCCTCCCCCAAGAAGGAATCCCACTAATTCTTTTTAAAAAAGGGAGAGAGATTCGTTTATAGAAACCTTTTTATAATTTATTTGCTATTGTTAATCTTTAGTATAAAAATGAAGCTCTAGCTAAATGTAGGATTTCAGTGGTGAAATTTGGACCAGGTAAACAAATAAATAAATATTTACAGTCTTTGGCAAAACAAAGTTTCGTTGACCCATATGAGAAGCTTGTTTTAAAAGACATAAATAATTTACAAAAAATATGGTACATTAAGTATTCACACCAACGCCCCTCCTGGTACCATTCAGCCAGATGCCCCCAAACAGAAACCTGCACACACTCCACCATCCGCACAGCTGGGAAGTCTCCCAACCCCGTGTTGGTCTTGGGAGTACAGTTCCACAGAAAACAAAAAGCTCAGAAAAAGTCCACCCTCAAAGCAGCAGCACACAAATAACTACATGAAAACAAAGTGTGGAAACTCAGACTGAACTTACGGATTATTTCTATCTGACTTAGAAATGCAGTCACCATTAATAGAAAGGGGAGAGAGATATGCCCCATGTCAGAGGGACAAGGTAAGCTTCCACTGGACTCATGTAGAATGGAGGGCCTAGTATTTCCTTGAGCAAGATCATGTACCTGAAAGTAAAAAATAAGCCAAGCGTTTACCGTGTGACTGACTACTGGGTGTGTCTGGCAAAAACAAATGCTGATTTTTCTATATAGCGAAGAAATAATAATAATAAATTGAATTAAAATCATCAGTAACTGTGTGTATCAAGGTTCTGTAATGAATTGATCCTTTCTATTTATTCACCCTACTTCATTTTACAGTGAAATTCATCATGACAGCATTATAAAGCCTTGTATTTCAACCAGCAGATATTTTTGTTGTATGTCTTTATGTTATTATATCCTTGTTATATGTTTATTTCTAGATAAACACTCCATATTGTTACTTTGCATCTTTAAAATAAGTTATTGGTGAGTAGAGCTGTATTCTAAATTCATTTAATAAATACTAACAAAGCAGGTATGCCTGGAACCTTAATGAAATGTATTACCAACTTAGACAAAAGCAACTTTTCCATCCTCTCCGAAGCCTGGAATAGAAACGGGGGGCCAAAGTGCATTTGTTGATTATCTGCCACTCTGTTTCCCAGTAGCAGATATGGGGAAAGGTGCCCAGGCAGCGATCCTAGCAGTCATCCTACAGAGCCTGATGAGCACCAGGTGGGCGCTCCAGGAGGCCAGGTGAACGGGAGGCGCTTGGCTCTGGGGGAGGCTCTGAAGAGCCCACAGCTGGCATCTCTAGTGGTCCCCTTTCAGGGCCACGCCTTCTTTGTCTTTGTCAAAACAGCTGTCACTATGGATCAAGAGGAGTAAGGGGGAAGTGGTAGTCGTCTAGTTTTGTGACTGTTTTCAATAGTGTAATTAGTCGGTGTCTTACATGATTGGATGTGGGGCCACAGTCTCATGTGATGATTATCTTCTAGCCTCTTCGTTCTGCAGCATTATTCCAAACTTTACCTGACCCTTCTTCATGAGTGACTTGATAGGATCTGCATGTTACTGTAGAACAGCACAGACCCAAGAACAGGGAGAACATTAAGCACTGAAAGTAGCTGAGTGATATTTTTCATGCTTAATTTATGATGACTTATGCACAATATTCCCTTCAACTCCATATACACATAAATACAGTAAGTAATTACATTTTACATGTAAACGTCATTCTCTTTAAACAAACGAGAAAAAGCTACACAATGTCATGCTCGATTTTCATCCACATCTCATATCTCATCAAACTGTTTTCTGGCAGTAGGCGAGTCCTTCATCTTGGCGCTCCCTCTGTGTCAATCCTCTGAAAGTACTTGGACTTGGGGCTCATGAAGGAGGGGAAGATCCACTCAGTTACGGTCAGGAAATGGGAAATGCCATAAGAGAGAAAAGCTGCAAGTACCAGAGTGAACCTGAATGTCCAGGAAACAGTGCGGCACTCTGCGGGCAATACAGCTGTACAGCATCTCTAAACATCTGCAAGAGAAGGAGCACCAGAATTAGAATGGCAGAAACAGGGAATATTTTATACTGGGTGTTTGTTTGTGGGAAGCAGTTATCTCCTCATAGCTAGATTGGAACTCATTGTGTAACCTAGACTGGCCTCAAACTTGTGGTGGTCAGGAGCCCCTGCCTCAGTCTCCCAATCACTGAGATTACATGTGTCTGTTTCATCTATGACCTCAAACATCTTTAATTAACTTTTAAATGGCATAAATGGGATAGCTGGGTGAAAGGATGGATGGATGGATGGTGAGTGGATGGATGGACAGTGAGTGGATGAGGATGGATGGATGGATGGACGGATGGTGGATGGATGGTGGATGGACGGACAGATGGTGGATGGATGGATGGACGGATGGTGGATGGATGGATGGATGGATGGATGATGGATAACAGGTATGGATAGATGTTTGGACTAATGGAATAGATGAGTGGATGAATGGTGTTTGTATAGATGGAAGGAAGGAAGATGGATGGATGGATGCGTGGATGGATGCATGGATGGATGGATGGATATAAGGAAGGATAGATGGATGGGTAGATGGATGAATGGGTGTTTGGATGAATAAGTAAATGTATGGGAGGGTGGCTAGATGTCTTCATGAATGGATGGATTTTGGTTAAGTAGATGGATGAATGGATGGATAAATAGGTGTCTGGATGGATGGATGATGTATATTTGATGTTTGGGTCGATGAGTGGATAATGGAAAAATGAAATGTCTTCGATAGCCTCCTAATGTAAGGTAAAGGGATCTTGGATGGGAGTGAGCAGAGAAATCATGGTTCTTATCTATGATTCATGTGTGATTTTCAAGGTTTGAGTTTAAGAAATATCTCTGAGCCTTAATTGTCTCCTCTATCGAAGACATGCAGTTAGACTGGAGAGTTGGGTTTGCTTCCAGGTTTACATTTCGGTTCAGATAAACTCTTAAAGTGTAACTAAACAGAAGTTTCCTTCCCTCCACCCCTCTGTCTTTCCCTTCCTCCCTTCTTTCCTTCAATTTGTAGCAAAGATGGAAATCTAAAATGCCTCTAAGTACTCAGAAAGCAGAGTGACAGAAAGTTATACGGCCTAGTACAGTGTAGCAGAAACTGTCCTACCAAAGGCATTCAGATTCAATTTAAAACAAGGAAATCACCAAAAAAGAACTTACGTTGCCTAAATCACACCTCTGCTGGGAGGGCAAAAGCCCTAGCTCACAGCATCAGTTTACTGCCCTAGAACAAAGCTTCTGTCAGCAGAAGAGTGGACGACGCCAGCCCCTGCTGGCCTGTAGGACCATCCTCTGATGCATAAACTCACCTCTGCATTCGTACTTGAGGTCAGAGAAGTAGACCATTTCTTGGGAGAAGACGAACAGGCCCAGGCGCCCACCAGCATAGGTGTGGTCGTAGATCGGTCCCGAGTCGGCCATGACCTGCTTTCCTTCATGCACTAAGACTCTGAAACAGGCAAAGGAACAGAAGACAAAAGAGAATTTGAACTTGCAGCACATCCCCTGGAGGCCTGGCAGTTGGCTCTGGATGCCATTGCGTCTCCTTTCCCCTCCTGGTGCTGAATGTGAAAGCGGAACAACACACGGGTCAGCCAGTGGCTGTGATCTCCACCACTGATCCACATGCAGTCCAACCCAGACAGACCTGGGATACCACCATCTTATCAGAGTTTCAGCATGGCCTGGGTAAAGCTTTTTTTCCCCCAGGAGCACTGGGTCCATCCCTTCTCACAGAAAACCTGCTGCCACCCTTGGTGTGTGCTTATAGCGACTGTTTGTGGTGGTGTCCGTTGTTATGAGCCAACACTCTGAGGTTTTTTTCCTGATCGCCTAGGGGAATAGATGCCCTTTCTTTTCCTAGGAACCTGGTCTTCCCCCTGTGCGTGGTTCCCATAGCCTTCATTTCCATGAAGATCCTGACTCCCATCTTTTTCTTGCTGTGAGAGTTGCCTGTGTTAAGACAGAGCTCTGTCTTCCTGGCCCGGAGTGGGAAGTGATGCCCCAGAATGCCCTGATGGAGGACATCAGTGACAGACAGGGCCTCTTACAGTGATATCACATACCACAAGCCAGTCTGTACCTCACTCACCCAGACCCCCAAGGACCTACACACTCCTGACGGCTGACAGGGGTATAGCTCAGCACTTGCTCAGCATGTGTAGACCCCTGGGTTTCACCCAGATGACCCTCCACTCACTAGGAGAGTTGCTACCACCCACCAAGTATCCTAAGGTATAGCTCACTTTTCAACATTTTTAAATAATGTATAATAAGAATGCAAGACGGAAGAGAGAGACATTCAAAACTGAAGACTCCAGAGAAGGGCATAAAAAAGTTTACAATGACGAACATGTCTGTTGAGACCATCCAGTGGGAAGAAGGACTGGCCATCCAGTGGGAAGAAGGACTGGCCATCCAGTGGGAAGAAGAAGGACTGGCCATCCGGGAAGAAGGAGTGGTGGTCATCCAGTGGGAAGAAGGACTGGCCGTCCAGTGGGAAGGAAGGCTCGCATCCAGTGGGAAGAAGGACTGGCCATCCAGTGGGAAGAAGGACTGGTCATCCAGTGGGAAGAAGGACTGGCCGTCCAGTGGGAAGATGGACTGGCCATCCAGTGAGAAGAAGGATTGGCCGTCCAGTGGGAAGATGGACTGGCCATCCAGTGGGAAGATGGACTGGCCATCCAGTGAGAAGAAGGATTGGCCATCCAGTGGGAAGATGGACTGGCCATCCAGTGGGAAGAAGGATTGGCCATCCAGTGGGAAGATGGACTGGCCATCCAGTGGGAAGAAGAAGGACTGGCCACCCAGTGGGAAGGCAGTCCTGAGAGTGCTGTCATTGCATAGAAACACACAGCTGGCCTTACCTCATGTAGCCTGTCTTGGGTCTGTGAATCAGGTGCCACCTGTAGGCAGTGTAGTCTTTCCAGCCAATGTTTTTGGGGTCGTGCCATAATGTGCGCACCTGAGGAAGAACATCACTGCTGAGTGCTGGGCGCCTGACTCCCACCAGCCTCCCTCCCCTGGGCTGTGCAAAGTAACATCCTGCTTGCTGTGCCCCCTCCCCTCTGATGTGTTTTATGGTCTATGTGCTACACAGACAAATGCTATGTATCTCCCACCATACTGTGCAGGTGGAATATTACAATGCACCTAAACCCACGGCAGAGGGCTTGCAGTCAGTCCTTGGCCCAGACAGTTATAGATCTGAACTCAAGTCTTCTGCTTCTTGGATAAAGAAAAACATTGACACTTTGAAGCCAAGTTCCTGTCTCTGCAAGAGAGTGGGGATATGCCTGTGCTTGCTAATCACATTGACCAAAGCACCAGACCTTGTGTTTAATGCGGTAGGTGCTCAACACCAGTGATTACAATGCCTGCTGCTTGAGTGAAACTTAACAAGCACACAAGGGTGTCTCTGGAATGGGCTCGGACTACAGGGTCATCCCTGGGTGAGGCCCCTCACCTGGCCCTCTGTGTTCCCCGTGTGCCATAAGGCATTCCTCAGGTGCTCGCCTGTGCCGGTGGTGGAGTTCACCACCTTGAGTGACACGCCAGAGTAGCCGTACGCCCGGCTGGGCTTATCTTCCCAGTAGGTCTGAGTGACCTGTTTCCACATCACCACGTAGAAACGACTACTCGACTGGTAACCAAAGACGAAGCCAGCATAGTCATCATCACGGTCAGTGTTGACATAGAAAGTGCCGCTGAAGTCCACAGACCCAAACTCATCAAAACCTGAGTGCAAAGGAAATTGGCGTGGTCTGTATCTGTGTGTCCAGGGAGACACACCCGGGGCCTCAGTGTCCGTGTTACCTGAACATGTATCTAAGACACTTAAGTTGACTCTGCTCTTCCACAGCCCAAATTCTTCACTATGAGATTAGCTAAGGCTGTGGAAGTTGTTCAGACCCAACTGTCCAACTGACAGAGCTGGGTCAGAGGCTCCATGTGTCTTGTGACACTTCTAGACAGTCCATAGCATGAACTGGCATTCCAGAGACTATGGAGAAGCAAACTATGTTCTCCTGGAAACCCCTGTCCAGATTATATAGGGAACAGTTCCACACACCAAGGACAGTCCTGAATCTCATCCACAGGGTCTTTCTCAGCAGCATCACCCCACCCAGGATCTCAGGCTCACCTACAGCAATTCCAGGGTCTGAGTTTGCCGTCTGCACCAGTTCCTTGCCTTGGTGACGAATGACCCAGTTGGGATCAATTTGCGTGGTTCCCTTGGGGTCCAGAGGGACCATCTGAAAGTTCCTGAAATCTGTCTCACTGATGGCATTGTTCTCAGGACACACGTCATCAATATCTGGGACATTGTCATTGTCAAAATCATCCTTACAAATATCTCCACGCCCATCACCTATGGATAAGGTAGAAACAAACACAAGGGGACAAGGTAGGTGGCTTGCGTGTGTCTTCCTCAGTGTGGACAGAGAGTGCCCAGGCCCTTAACAGTTACTTATGGACTGAGGGTGGATCACATCCAAGACACTTGTATGCTGCAAGGAATCTCAGAAAGATGGCATAATCTGCCCCCCTGAGAGTTCTGCTCCCCAAATTCTGAGCTGAAAACTGTAAATCCGGCCACTGCCCAGCAATGTGTCTTGAGTTTCTGGCTGTTTCTCACTGTCTTTTTTAATAACCAGAGCCATGTTGGTCTATTCAGCATTTAAAGTGGACATTTTCCAGCACACATGACTTTCCCTGGGGAAATTTGACCCAATGAGGTTGGGGCAGTGATTGGGTAGGCCACTCACCACTCTGGTCTGCAAAGGGGGTGGATCATGTGACCTTAGAGCTGCCCAGCCCTTGGCCAAGTGAGATGCCTCTAAGTAGAGGCAGTGAGGTAAAGCCAGACACTCCACTGTGACTTCTAATTTCAGATGCAGAAAAATAAAATACAGTTGACATCAAATATGGTATCTTGACTCCCCCAATATTTCAACTAGTTTCCAGTTCTACATCTATCTACTTCTATCACATACTCCATCGTATATCTATGATCACGTGTTCCCCTCTACTGTGTGAATCATGTGCACGGGCATTTTCTTTTCTTTTCCTTTCCTTTTCCTTCTTTAAGACAGAGTCTCATGTTCAAGGCTGGCCTCCAAATGGCTATGCAGCCGAGGCTAACCTTGAACTTCTGATCCTCCTGCCCCTACCTCTTGAGTACTAGGTTACAGATATTTACCACTCTGCCTGGTTTATGTGACGCTGGGCTTCATCCCCTGCCCCAATAAGAATATTTTTAAAATATTAAAATATTCCTGCATTTATCAGCTTCTTCCCTTCCCAGCTCTCTTCCTGAGTGAGCCAAATCCCACCTCCCACTGTCTGCTCTGGTGTCTGAAACAAGCTGGGAGCTTGCTGCTGAAATCCCTCCTTCTCACGCAGAGAGGATTTTGGGCTGCCCTTGTGTCTCGGCCAGTCTTTCCACGTGCTTCTGAGTCATGTTGGCTCAACACCCCAAGACTCCTGATCTCCATTTGTTCAGGATATGTGTCTTCCAAAGAGGGCTTGGGTCACGGATTGGATCCCTCAGCCACTTGCTCATGGCCTAGCCCACCAGCAAGCACAGCTGTATACTTTGTTATTCAAGACTGCAGTCCTTCTTGGAATGTGACCACCTCCAGAGCCCATACAACCACAGACTTATAACGGTTCCTGACCTTCCATTTCACATGTCTCCAATTTTAGATATGTCACTCTTAAAGCAATAAATCACCTATTCTCACTGGCCTCATATGGTGAACTGTGAACAATATTTCTAAGATTGTCAACATCTTTCAAAAGTACATGGATGCTTAGAGATTTCCTCATCCCAACATTCACAAGCACACATATCCTGTCTGTCACTGATGGAATATTAGACACACAACAAGAAACTGAAACTACCAAACAGGCTTAGGCAGAAGACCAGCCATCTCTGTGCCCAGCACCCAAGATGACCACCATGCCAACAGCTTCTGAGTGTGAGTCCTAAATGACTTCACGGCAGAAGTAGTAGCTCTGGAGGACTACTATGGGACACATACATGAGCCGAGAAAGGCACCCACCATCTGAATCTTCTTGGTCGGGGTTGAACACAAGCCGGCAGTTGTCCCTGTCATCGGGGACACCATCGTTGTCATCATCAGAGTCGCAGGCATCGCCCTTGCCGTCGTTGTCATGATCAGCCTGGTTAGAGTTGGAGATGTACGGGCAGTTGTCCTGGTTGTTCTGGTGGCCATCGTCATCTATGTCTTCATTGTTGTCACACTGATCCCCAACAAGGTCATTGTCCAGGTCCGTCTGGGAGGCAGGGCGGGAGGCAAGCACCATGAGCACTCCTGAGGAAGCCCAGGAAGGCTCTGGGTGCTAGGCTTGGGGCCCACCATACTATCTCACAGGACAGCACTGGGGGCCATGAAAAGAGATGAGGCATGTTAGGCTACTCACAGTCCACACACATAGCCTGGAATCCAGATACCTGGGTTCAGGCTGTCCCAGCCTGCACCCCCTTCCCACAGGGCACATACTAAAGTTAACTACACTCAACAATGCCATTTTTCACACCATTTGCTACAATGTGCTCTGCACACCACATCTCTAGGTCACGTTCTCCTTGTCCCTCTCAGAGGTCAGCCTGGACACGAAGCCAGCTCCCGTGCTTGCCTCAGAGTAACCATGGAGACTGATTTCCCCTCAAACACTGAGAGGAAGCCACGTCCTCACTTGGCCTGTGGCCACTGAGATATAATGTGCTTGGATCTGAGTTGTGTAAGAGGTTCCAGCTGAGATTATTGAAAACCATGTCATGCTTGGCAGAGCACATGGGAACCACACAGGCACAGCTTCATGAAGCAGCTTGAGGACATGGGGTGCCCTGCTCAAAGACACCCCATCACCCACAAAGACATCTCTAGGCAGCAGCTGAGGACTCTAGAACCCTGCTCTGAGATGCCCCATTACCTGATCAGGGTTGTGCATAAGGGGGCAGTTATCACAGTGGTCACCCACGCCATCACCATCCGTGTCTCTCTGATCAGTATTGTAGACAAAGGGACAATTGTCTCGTTCATTGAAAACATCTGTTGGCAAAAAGCAGTGATATGCTGAGTTTCTTATCACATCAAACAGATAAAAATATGGTAAAATGTAAATACTATTAGGTTAATGGAAGAACATATGACACATTTCCCGTTAAAGTCCAAATCCCCTTAGCCTAAAACACAATCAGTGTTTGGAATCCTCCAGGTGACTCCACCCAGCCAGGGGATGAATGTGCAGGTGTGACTCTCAAGACTCAGGTTGGTGTGTTGGTGAGTTGGTACACTGATGCATTGGTGCGTTGGTGCATTGGTGCATTGACTATTCCCACCAAGATCCCAGAAAGTGTGTGTTGAGTCCATAGGAACTCAGCAGAGAGAGATCGGCAAGATTTTCAGAAATCAGAAAATAGGTTACAAAATCTACCAGCTCTGGAGATACTAGAGAAGATGGTGTGAGGAGACTCCAAAAGGCCATGGGGACAAAGTGGAGGGTCAGAGCCAGCAACTCAGAAAGCAGGCCTTGCCTCAATCACATGCCTGAGGAAGAAGAGGCCCCACAGGGGCTTGAGGTCAAAAGAAAGGGCCCTTAAAATGACAGGGTGTCAGAACTTTAGACCCCCATTCAGCATATTGGATGCATCAGCTCACAGCAGAATGGACCTGAGGTGGCAACTGAGTGCATCAAGACTTGAGATGGCAGAGAGGTCCAGACTCTCCTAGGGCCAAGGCAGATGCAGAGCCTAACTGGAAAGTTCTTCTAGAAAACACTTTGAGGTGGGGTCAAATAGCAGGGCAGGTTACAGTGAGTCAGAGGGGCTGAGAGAACTCCAGCTGGGAAGAGGCAAGAAGAGAGAGAAAGGCTAGCAGGGCACAGAGAGGAGTCGAGCAGAGCCCAGTGGCTCCTGGCTCTGCAGGGATGGTGTGATCTCTAAACACTTTGGGAAAGAACTGACCGGGTGCCATGGCATGGTGGGTCTCAGGGCTCCTTTCTTGAGGCTACAGGAGAAAATGTGGACATGCCCTGATGGAACCCTGAGACTGGCACCATGGCTCGGTAAGTGAAAATGCTTGCAGCACAAACCTGATGACCTAAGTTCGATCCCTAGACCCCACATACAAAAGCTAGATGGTGTGACATGTATCTGTTATCCCAGCACTCCTATAGCAAGATGGGAGCAGAGACAGGAGAGTCACCTGAAAACTCCCTGAACAGCTCCACCTGTAGTATGCAAAACCAAGAGACCCTGCCTCAAGAAGATGGAAGGAGAGACGCGACTCCTGAAAGCTGTCCTCTCCCGCCACACATGCTGTGGGCACATGCACGTCCCGCCCCCTACATCATACACAGGCACACAGCAACAAATAAAATTTGAAATCTGTGCATGCTCAGTGGATGCAATCGTTTTTTCAAAGATCTATAGATGATTGATTCATGGCTGTGGACCTGAGGAAACAGAGCACTGAGTCCCTTCTAACCACAAGCCCTGAACTGTGTCACTAAAGTGAGCAGAGCCGCTGACCATCTCCATCAATGTCCACAGAGCAGGCATCTCCCTCTCCGTTGTCGTCTGTATCGATCTGTGCTGGGTTGTGCACATAGGGACAGTTGTCACATCGGTCTCCAACCTCATCCTTGTCGTAATCAGACTGACGGGGATTGAAGAGAAGCTGGCAATTGTCCTAAAAACACCAAAAAAGAGCTTCAGAAAGAGTGTGGTATTGTCAGAGGCCGTAAGAAGGCTGAAGGCTTGCAAGTCCTGCACTCGGACTAAAACAAAACGAACAACATGTAAACAGAGCTTCAGAAAGAGTGTGGTATTGTCAGAGGCCGTAAGAAGGCTGAAGGCTTGCAAGTCCTGCACTCGGTCTAAAACAAAACGAACAACATGTAAACAGAGAAAACGAGTCAGCCCTCCACAAGCACGTTTAATACCACATTGTTTTATAGGTACGTGTGCATCTGTCCTGTCTCACAAATAATGAAATCTGGTGGGGTGTATAAGAGGGTACAGATAGGGTAGAGGATCTAAATATGATCAAAATGTATTGCATGAAACTTCCAAAGAGTCAATTAAAAAATTAAAAAAAAATCCTAAAAAGGAATTTAGATTTCCTACTTCAAAGCTGATACTTCATCTACTTTGTGGTGAAGTCAAAGGAAGGGACAGAATGAATGGACAAGTGGGTCAAAGGACAGAGGGAAGCCAGCGGAGGAGAGCGCTGAGTCCCAACGCAGGAAACCCACCGGCGCCACACGTGAGGCAACGTGTTGTTTTGGGGGGGGGGTTGTTTGGTTTTTTGATGTATATTTTTATTGATTATTTTGTGCATTTCATACAATAGACTTTAGTCATATTTAGACCACCTATCCCATCCACATCCCTCATAGCCCCTCAAGTAATGTCATGCATTTTGTCATATATGTTAAGGCCTATCTGGTCAAGCATTTGTACCCAGATGTCTCTCAGTATAAGTTAATACGCTGACATCTAGCCAGCCTATCTAGAGTCCCTCCCTTAAAGAAGATCAAGTCTCCCTCACCCAGAAGTAATCAATTGACACTAGTTCCTCAACTATGTTTGGGGCCTCCTGCCCATTTCTCCAGGTCTATGCTGGGTATTTGTGTGATTGAGTTTGGTGTGGGTCTTGTCACCATTGCTGTAAGTTCTTACACACAAGTTCCCAGAAGCCTGAAAGCCTCTGTTCCCTTGTGTTCATGCGCCGACCCCGACTCTTGCAATCTTTCCACTCCCTCTTCCACAATGGTCCCTGAAGCATGGACGAGTGAGGCTTAATATAGGAGCCCTATCCAAGCACACACACTCCACAGTCTCTTATTCTCTACACCTTGAGCCAATATGTTAAACCTTCTGTTTGCAACAATTGCCACTTGCCTCCAGAGCAACCGACCAGAAGGAATGGAAGCCCATGAGCACTTTCAAAGCAATTAGGAAAAGTGAAATGATTAAGCACAATTTCTGCAGTGCACCCCATTGACCCCCACACACCAAATAATCTGCATTTGTAGTGACAACTTTATTGGTGACTTCTGGAAGTTTTTCATAAATACATGTCAGGAAACAGCACTCAGAAGACCATTGATATAGAGCTCTGGGCTCCTCCGGCCTCTCAGCACACAAGTGCAGTTCCCACCCTACCTTCTCATCGCTCACACCATCATTATCATCGTCCTCATCACAGGCATCACCGATTCCATCCTTATCGAAATCCTCCTGACCCGAATTGGGCAGTTTGGGGCAGTTGTCCTATAATTAGAGGAGGAATGATGATCATGAAATCATTCTGAAATGCCCTTCTCTCCAAAGCAGGCAATGGAAAACAGGGGTTATGGTACAGAGAATGTGAAGATCTGATACAGGACCTCAACCTAAAGCAAGAGAAGGGGCTAGAGCCAGCACTCAGAGCCCGAGCTATTCTTTTAGGTTCTATTCTGGGAATTAAGTCACTGCTGCTCAGCAGTAGGGACTGAAGGAGCTTGTTCTGAGGCGAGGGTGACCAGGAAGGGACCCGACGCCTGAGAGACCAGAGGAAAGTGAGGGACTGCCTCTCCCAGGAGACGTGAAGTGGCAGGCGCTTAGTGTCCTGTCCTTCCCATGGCCTCAGCTGATGAATCAAGGGCCCCGGCATGCAACCTCAACCCTCACTGGCCAGCAGGTTTCAAAGAAATAAGCCTTCCATAGGTGTGCATGCTGTAGGCCTTGTAATTACTGGACAGAGTCAGTGCTTGGGAGGCAGTCAAGCTCACAGCCTGACAGACACATGGTAGCAGTTAAAGCAGAATTGCTTTATCCCCCATGTTGTGATGCAAACCTGAACTACACGACCCAACTGAGGGACCCTGGAAGCAGGGCAGGGGAGTGCAGGCTTGGGTTCCACAGTACTGACCGTGTGTGTGTGTGTGTGTGTGTGTGTACATAGTGTGTGTGTTCCCATATACATAGTATTTGTGTGAAACCTGCCATTTTGAAGCTGTTACACTGACAAAGGTTTTAAAAGCCAGACATCCCCACAGACAGGAGGAAGCAAGCTGCCTGGGCCAGGGTACCACAGGGTGGACACTTCTGCCTCATTTCTTTGAGGTTTGTATCAGCCAATACTTGCCTCCTTTAATTAAGAGGCACTGAAAGTAGAAATTTCTGCATTAAAATGTTATCACTTTAAACTTAAAATGAGTATTAAATATACCCACAACGATGACCTGTTTTGTAACCCTCCAGCACTTAACATTTGTGAAGTTACAAAACTGTACTAACACCCTGCGTAGTGGACCCAACCCTGATCCCCAGACATGTGTGTGTCTAGGAAAGTTTCTAGGAATTTTCAAAGTAACAGCCAGCAGCCCAGCTTGTCTGGGGGTGGTAATACCCACACCCTGGGGTCAGGCACATAGTCAGCCTGTCCCCTCACTGCTTCCAGCCTACGGCCCAACAACAAGCAGCATGAACCTGTGTTGCTTTAAACAGTGACTCCTGGAACACAAGGAAAATCAATAGCAAAGCCAACTGTGAGCAGTGTTGTGGCAGACACCTGTGAACAGCACGCACCACACACACTCTCTCCATCCCTGTAGGTATAGAAAATGCATGCTCTAGCCTCAAAGTAGGCAATCTGTGTGGAGTGTAGGAGGGAACAGGGCAAGCAGGAATTTCTCACTTAATAGTAAGGCCATCATTTCCAAACACACTCAGTCCCTCCTGGCAGTGTATGACTGAGAAGGGACTGGAGTCCACACCCCACACTGACTGAGGAGAGACTGGAGTCCACGCCCCACACTGACTGAGGAGAGACTGGAGTCCACGCCCCACACTGACTGAGGAGAGACTGGAGTCCACGCCCCACACTGACTGAGGAGAGACTGGAGTCCACGCCCCACACTGACTGAGGAGGAGCTTTTCTCCTGGCTCGAGGTTGGTATGTGTCTCACCTTGATGCAGTGGTAGGTGGCATTGGTGGCACACACCAGGTTGTTGTTGGGCCAGCCATCCAGATCTGAGTCCTCCCCACAGATGAGTCCGTCTCCTGCATAGCCTGTCTGGCACTCACACTTGTACATGGGGTCACTGAAGTGGCCCAAGTATATGCACTCTGCATGCTTGTGGCAGCTGTGAGTCTTGTCCTTGCACGGATTTTCTGGCTCACACACCTGAAGGACCAAAGTGGCATGAACTAAAGGAAAGAGATCAGTCATGGGCACCCCCAGGAGACGAGGGGTTCATTCTTGAGGGGACGTGGGGGGCATGGTAAGACACTAGGTCCTTAAACAACTTTAGACCTGTCAGGAAGTGGTCTTGAGAGCTTGTCAACAGTTCTCTAAGCTAGACAACACTGTTTCTGCATTACCAGGTAATACCACTTGCCACAGCTTTGCTTTAGTTAGACCCTCGAACTCCAAGGCACGTGTGAAGCCCCCAGACCCAGTGCAACAGCTTCGGGAAGTAGGGCCTCATGGCAGGTGTTTAGTCAGCAGGGACCCTCTCTCCTCTGTGGATCAATGCTGAGTGCTGAGTGCTTGAGTATCTCTCTCTCTCTCTCTCTCTCTCTCTCTCTCTCTCTCTCTCTCTCTCTCTCTGTGTGTGTGTGTGTGTGTGCGACTTCTACCATAGAATAACAGCACAGAGACCCTCACTAGCTGCCTGGTCCTCAATCTTGAACTCCTAGACTTCCAGCCTCCCAAAATTTGAAAAATAAGTCCTCTGTCCATTATCCCTGCCCTGCTTCTGGCATCCTGCTACGGCAGCCCAGAACAGAGCAAGGCTTTCTTGCTACTCTGATACTCATAGGTCCTTTGCATGAAAACTTAGACCTAGATTCCTCCATGTCAGTAGGAGAGGATCCAGGTGGACAGAGGCTTCGAGGCTTCCAGGGGAACATTCTCTCCATCTCTCTCCCAACAGCACTGACTGCCCTTTCTCCTCCCTATCCCATCTCCACTTATCTGGATTGTCTGTTTTGTTTTTTTTTTTTTCAAAGCCTTTAGTAATATAGACAAGGCCAGCCTCGCTCACCTGCTTTTCTGTCCTGGCAGCCTCCAGGCCAACCCCAAAAGGCTGGCTCCCCTTGTAGCGTGGGGGGCAGGGCAGGCAGTGGAAGCCAGGCTGGGTGTTGACACAGCGGGAAACTTTGTTGGTTGAGAAGCAGATGTCCGTGACCACAGCACACTGTGAGGACAGGCATAAGTGAGCTCCTCTCCCCATCTCTACAGGGTACCCTGATGCCCGAGGTGGGGGTATCTACCTCATCCAGGTCTTCACAGTGGGTGCCGTTGCCCAAGAAGCCCACTGGGCAGGAACCACAGGACCAGGACCCATCAGGGAAGCTGTTGCATTCAGCTCCAGGGAAGCATGGGTTGGATAAGCATCCATCTGCACGGAGGACACAGCTAAGGCTGGGTAACACCTGCCTCAAGCAACACCAGACACTCACAGATGGAAGCTCTTGCCTGTGTCTGTCAGGTACTCTGGTTCAGTTGCCCTTAAATTGTGCTGCTAGGGATATTCTGGGGACATCTACTCAGTGTGGAACTAGAGTGTCACCAAAGGCTATATCAGCTGAGAGTATCTTTCAAGATGAGAGTGTGACAGATTGCAAGCCCATGTGCAGGTTATCATTTGTATGTGGTCACATTGTCACATTGTTCACAACATACTGCACAATCATCTCTGCATTTGCATAAATATTCTGGAGCATAAAATAGTTATTAAAAATATCTGTTTCTACATATGCAGGTTTTTATTTTCTATACATCTAAGGAGTTCACAAAATGGTTGTATTTTGTATCAGAATAAACACCAGAGGTTTCTTCAGAGGCATCTCTGGCTAAGACACCTCCCCCTACAGAACACACCCTTCAATAAATCCTTTAACACATGCACATGTGCCCCTCCCCACATGCATGCCCTGTGACTCACCAATAAGGCAGCTCCTTTGACACGTATATACACACATGAGCAAGTGTACACACACACACGCCACATGCATGCTCTGTCACTCACCGATGGGGCAGCTCCTCTTGTTGCACATCTGGTGTTCCTTTACATCCCCCACGCAGTCCTTCCCACCATACTGGGGCTCAGGGCTGTTGCACGCACGTGTGCGCTCACGGATCCCTCCAGCACAGGTGACTGTGCAGGTCGACCACGGAGACCAAGGGCTCCAGCGGCCATCGACTGTGGAGAGAGCCAGGGAAGCGGGTTGAGAGGGGAGTGAAGGAGCAGACACGTGATGGGCGCTGACCAGAACAGAGGAAAGAAGACGAAGGTGACGCCCTGGTTGTTTCTATGCAGCAGAAGAAGGTCTAGGAGAACAGGGAGAAACTGGGCTCCCGTGAACCTTCCATGACTGTGAGTGAGAGAGCAGTGCTGATTACAGAACTGTACACAGATTTATTTGTCTTTAAAGGGAAATCCTTACAACCTTTTATAGCTAAAGGCCTAGAATTCTTTACCAAGCCAGGAGACTAACCTCAGCTCTGAAGTGCTGTGTAGGTGGAAACTTATTGCACAGAGCAGCTATACAGGGCACAGCCAGGAAGATAACCCAACGTGAAAGCAATCCCCCTGCAGCAGTGCATGATGGGAGCCCAGCCTCCCTGGATAGGGTCTGGTCCACTAAGCTGCAGTTCCCCTAAGCCGTGGCTTGGTGTGGCTCAGAAACAAGCAAAGTCCTGTCCTGAGACCCACTCTGCTGACCCACGGTTCCAGCTCCAAATTTACGATTATGTCTTTCTGCAAGTGAACATCACTGTCCATCTGACTGCTCTGTGCAGGTTCAATGAACATTGGGCTAGCTCAGGAGGTCAGGGCTTGGGGCCAGTAATGGGCACTGACCTCAGAACACCACAGAGCACTGCTGGAGCTGTGCTGACTTTCGCTTTAATGACCCGACTGGGCTGGACCCCCCTCCACCCCATGGTGCTTACTTGGGCATGGGGCACCCTGGCAGGTCTTGGTCTCCCGGCCACTGCCTTTGGGCTGACTTTCGCTTTAATGACCCGACTGGGCTGGACCCCCTCCACCCCATGGTGCTCACTTGGGCATGGGGCACCCTGGCAGGTCTTGGTCTCCCGGCCACTGCCTTTGCAGTTCTTGCCACCCATCTGGGGCACCGGCGAGTTGCAGAGACGGATTCGGGTAACGTTGCCAACTCCACAGGTCACAGAGCATGAGGACCAGGGTGACCAGTGGCTCCAGCCGCCATTTTGCCGAACTGAAACAGGAAGCAGAGAGAAGTCAGCGTCTCAGGCTGTGTCCTGGGGCTGGACCACTCCCCCAAGGTCTGCCTTCCCAGCTAAATCTTGTTTATACCGACAGGGAGCAGGACCTTCACTCAGGAGAAAGCTCTTCTCCTGGTAAAAACCCTCACTGAGGCCATAGCCTCCAGACATCAGCAGGCACCAGTTGCTGTCATACTCACATGGCAAGCCATGTACCCCACCCTAGGGTGTGGCAGGGGACACTCACTTCGGGTATCACATTTGCCCAGGCTGCAGGTACGTGTCTGGATGGAGGGGCCCAGACAGGTATTGCTGGTGACATCACAAGACCGGCCTCTCTGCTGGGTCCCAGAGCCGCAGGTGACAGAACACTCAGTCCACTCTGCCCATGGAGACCAGCCCTCTTCACTGTCTGCTGCTGGGCAAGAAAGCATACACACACACACACACACACACACACACACACACACACACA